TAAACGGAAGTTTTTATATACTGTTTTCTAAACACTGACAATATACAACACTCCTTAAATATTTTTTCAATTAAAAAAATAACGGAAAAGACAATTTGCTTCAGCAGAGAAACAGAGATGCAGTTAATTTCTTTCTATAAAATGTCTAACTCTAACCCTTGCAATAAGAAACTTAAAAAGAAAACTTTTTAGTCAACTTAAAAAAAAGAGAAAACTTGGAGGGTTGTAGATGAAAATCAAATGTCTAACTATAATCTTTATTAATTTACACATATCTAAAATATATAAGGCAATATATTAATTTACAAAACAAGTTTACTCCAACTATCCATGAATATCTTAAACACCAGCATCTGTGATGAATTAAGCCACTATGTTGCAAAGAACTTCCCTGGTTTGTATCTATTAATAAAAAGAAAAGAAAAAAAGAATTAAGCCACTATGAATCACCAAATTCCATTTTCCAGAGCACGTACCATCTACTAGATCTGTTACCATAAAGCACTTCTGAAATCCATACACAACGCTCTTGCTGGAAGTCTCAACCCAAGCCATCAATGTCTGTTGAGGTGAGCAGAACTTCTTTTCATTCATTCATTCATATATATATATATACATACACATATACATACACACACACACATATGCACACAGTGACACACTTTCTTTTTTTTTGAGATCTGGAAAAATTAGTTTTCACATTTAACACTTGCACTTCATGATACTCCACACCCCTATCAGGAATAATGACTGAATCTTTCCTATTTTTTTGTTTCACGTATTTGGTAAGATTGAATAAACATCCCAAAATAGCACCAGCTGAGGTTGTTCCCGTTGTTCCAGCCCATTATGTCTTTCCCAAAGAGCACCTTGTTGTTCAAAATAGTGTCTGAGAAAGAGTGCCCTGTAACAGGGGAGCCCAAACGTGATGCTTTTGGGGGGAAACCCTGCTTGTGATCAAGCATATACAATATATACTTGAAGATAAGTTTTAAGAGGGAAGGCTGCCTGGTTTCTTCATGTCTTCTATAAGTGCTAAGCTTTGAGATTTTGATGAAAATACCCAACTCTACCGCCATTTTCCTTTTGAAATCACAGGCAGACAGGGAACTGCCAAGACTTGCTTTTTAATTTTAGTAGAAAATAAAAGTAAAATAGAAGACTTGCATTTTGAGACAAGGTCTCGCAGTGTCACCCAGGTTGGAGTGCAGTGTCATAATTACAGCTCACTGCAGCCTTGACCTCCTGAGCTCAAAGATCTTCCTGCGTCAGCCTCCCTAGGAGCTGGGGCCACAGGCATGCACATCATCACACCTGCTTAATTATTATTATTATTATTATTATTTTGGTTGAGACTGGGTCTCACTATGTTGCCCAGGCTGGGCTCAAACTCCTGTGCTCAAGTGATCCTCCCAAAGTGCTAGGATTATAGGCATGAGCCACTATACCTGACCCTATTTTCAACATAATACTACACTATGAAAGGTATAATCTTTCCAAAAAGCTAATCTGATGTTATCTATGTTATCTCTGCTAAACTCAAAAATTTTCTACTGGCGCTAGGCGTGGTGACTGATGCCTGTAATCTCATCGCCAAGGTAGGTGAATCACCTGAGGTCAGGTGATCAGCCTGGCCAACACAGTGAAACCCCGTCTCTACTAAAATCTTACAAAAATTAGCTAGATGTGGTGGTGCAAGTAGTCCCAGCTACTCGAGAGGCTGAGGCAGGAGAACTGCTTGCACCTGGGAGGCGGAGGTTTTGGTGAGTTGAGATCGTGCCATTGCACCCTGGTTTGGGAGACAAGAGTGAAACTCTGTCTCAAAACAAAACACTTTCTACTGCCTCCACTAGTGTGAAGAATAGAAAAAGTCAGTGTTTACTGTGTCATTTCCAGGTTACTCTGATCTGCCTTTGTTTACCTCACTGGACCAATCCTTGGTTCTTCTTACTCCACCTTCTCCCCTCAGGGCCCTCCAGTAGTTGGAGGCACTGCCACACTGGCACTACAACCTCGTCTGGCTATATTCCAACCCCACTTTGCAGCTCAGGTTAGTCATCTCAGCTTCCTTGATGACAGTCCCTTCCACACACAGATCCAGGAACAAATCTCTATAGTAGAACTCTTGTCTGTTTCATAGACTACTACTACAAATACCTGAGGCTTACTGAGCATACCGGGCGCTAAGACACTTCAAGCACTTAAAATTAAGTGCTTTACATAGAATGTCTTCTTTAAGCTCACAAGAAACCTATTAGGTAGGACATATTCTTCAGATCGGAAAGGTGAGGCCCAAAGAAGTTACAGGGCTAGGACGGGAACTCAGGCCATGAGGCTGAAGGGTCTGTGCTCTTCTATTCTAAAGTATCTTGCTGCTCAAAGGATTCTACACATGACCAGGGGCTTCCTGAGGGAGCACAACAGTGAGTGCTTACCAGATGCTTGCTGAGAATGATCGGAACACTTACTACCTGAGAAGTCAGCCACTTAGAACATAGAATGGAAACTTGACTTCTAGTCCTGTCCACTGAGTAATGCTGGTTTAACAGATGATCCCTAGAGCCCCATTCCAGCAAAACAAACTAGCAAAAACAAAACCCCCTTTTTTCGCCCAGAGATGTCCTTTATAGGTGCTAACACATTGCTTGCGAAACCAAAAACCAATTACTGAGTAGTTAAGTGAGGCCTTTACCTAGTTTCAGTGACAGAAGCACACATAAACCTCACATTTAGAGGCAGGAACAAGAAAACCATTCCAAGATACACTAATCTAATTTGTTGTTGATGACAAAGAAAAATACTTTAAACAAGCCCTCACTTTTAAATTTTCTAGCTTAACACTGATTTTCAAGGCCGGAAGGATTTATAATTCATTAAAAAAATTAGCACATATTCCATTTAACACACAAAAAAACTTCAGACTACAGGGAACCTAGAAGGTATTCTGCCAAAAGGAAATCATAATAGCTAACATTTAGCAATTTTTTTTTTTTTTTTTTGAGACAGAGTCTCATTCTGTCACCAGGCTGGAGTACAGTGACGGGATCTCACCTCACTGCAACCTCTGCCTGCTGAGTTCAAGCAATTCTCCTGCCTCAGCCTCCTAAGTAGCTGGGACTACAGGCACACGCCACCACACCCAGCTAATTTTTGTATTTTAGTAGAGACGGGGTTTCACCATGTTGGCCAGGGTGGTCTCGATCTCTTGACCTCGTGATCAGCCTGCCTCGGTCTCTCCCTAAGTGCTGGGATTACAGGTGTGAGCCACCTCGCCCGGCGCCATTTTCATATACTTCATTCTTTTTCTGGGTACCTTTAAAAAGGTCCTTATTTGGGAATCTGAGGCAGGAGGATTGCTTGAGCTTAGGAGTTCGAGACCAGCCTGGGCAACACAGAGACACCTTGTCTCTCAAAATAAAACTCCACGTTTAAGTTATTCCTCATCACCCTATTTTACAGATGAGAAAACTACAGCTCAGAGAGGTTACGCAGATGGCTACATGGTTTCCATCCAGGTCTACTGTCACCAAGCCCTATCCACTACATTAAGCTGTTCCAAAGTTTAACCTGTGGCCAAATGCATTTAACCTATTTAACCTATTAAGCACAAAACTCCCTTTCCTACTCCCACTTCCAAGTAGAGCTGTGACCAAGAACTGGAGAACAGCCTCCGTGTCCTCTCCTACACCCCCAACTCAGGTGTTGGCACACTTGAATAGCCTAATAGAAAACATGCTCCGCCCTTACTGTTCCTCTCGGCTCAGCTCCCAACTGTCTCTTCGCAGGAGTCACCATTCCGAGATTCCAATCTGCAAGGTCAGTTTAGGTACAGCAATTTAAGACAAACACCGCATGGGACTAGCATTTACCTTCTGATCCCAGAACCACACAGAGTGCGAGATCTGCAGTACAACGACTTTCACAACTGATGGGAGAACTGCATGTAGCGTTCCTGCACTCCACTTCCGCTAAGTCTAAAATGACACCACTGTTTCTAATCTTCCACTCACTGCGAACCAACGCCTTTATCGAATACATTTTCAAAAGCCTAGCAGCTTCGCGAGCTGGAGGTGGCGAACCCGTCCCACGCCATGGGCGCACCAACCTTACCTTGCTGTCATGAGGCAAAGAGCCCTGAGACACCCTTGCAGGTCGGCACGCTCCCGCAGTAGCTAGTCTAACTCTGGCTCCCCCGTGTCACACGCGGAGACCGACTCCACACCCACCCACGCACCATCACCATGTGCAAAGTTGAATCCCGACTTCGCCGCAAAGACATTTCCTTTTCCCCTACATGCAAAGGAGCTGTGAAGACGTGCTCCCCATCAGGCTGTCGGGCACTGAGATCCCTGCCCCGCGGGCGCCCGCCACCTCCTCCCCGAGCCCAGCATCCGACCCGCAGGACCCACCCCTGCGCAGGAACGCGACGCCAGTCCAGGTGTAGCCGCCGACTGCAGGCCACGCCGCCGGCCGCAGCCCGGGACTCGGGAGGCCGAGGGCGGAGGCGCGGCCACCGCGCCCGCGCAGAGCCGCCCGTCGCCCCCCCGCCCCGCCCCCACTCGCCCCACCCCCACCGCCCGCCGGCGGGAGCCGAGGCGCGCCCGGCCGAGGCCCCGCCGCCCTGGTCCCCGCCCGCCCGCCCGCTCGCTCGCGCGCGCGCGCGCCTCGCGACCCTCCCGACCCTCCCAGCTCGAGCGCCCCGCACTCACTGAACATCCCAGGCGGCTCCGGCTCCCCCCGCCGCCGCCGCCTCCGGGATCGGGTTGATTCCGCCTCCGTAGTCTCTGCCGCAGGATCTCGCTCTGACGGCCGGCTCAGCTGGGCCCCCACGCCCCGCGCCCCGCCGCCCCCGCCGCCGCTTTGGGCGGCCGCTCCATGACTGACTGACACGGAGCGGGCCGCGGGCTGGGCCGCTTGGGCCTCCAACGCGCAACAGTCTCCGCCAATGGGCGAGGCGCCTCGGCGCTCGGCTGGCGACGCCTGGCGTGCGTGCCGCCCCTCTCCGCTGCGCCGCCGGCGTCGGGCGGAAGAAGCGTGGGGGCCGGGCCCACGTGGTGGGGCTGCGGAAACCGGACAGTCGCCGCCGCCGTTGCCCCTGTCCTCCGTCGTCTACGAGGGGCTGTCTCGAGCTGAGCCTCCTACCGGGCCCGGGTCCCGAGGTGAGTCCCTACCGTCGGTGCGCTCTCTACCTGGAGCCAGGTCCCGAGGTGAGCCCCCAACCCGGGGTTGGTCCTCTCCAGAGGCGAGCCCCTACCTGAGGCTGGGCCCCGACGGGGGTCCCCCACCCGGCCCAGTTCCAGTGCCGCCAGCAGACTCTGGGCGAGAGCCGACTGGACGCGCTCCATCTGTGAAGGCGAACTCCCTCCTGCCTCCTAACTGCTCTCTGTTTCTTGTTGCTTTGTTTCTTTCTGTTGGGCAGGGAGTGCTAGCAGGGCTTTGCTGTCCGCCCTGGACTTTGCATTGCCGGGTAAGGGCGGCTGGAGGCCAGGAAAGCGGAATTCTGGCGGAGCCCGGAAGAGCATCTCGGTCGTCTTTGCAGCCAGTTCAACAAACACTTGTTATGCACTTTGTAGCTGTCTCAGTGGCGGTCTGTGGTATTGAACGTAAAAGTCAGGCATCGTTGAATTCGTTTTGGACATTTTGACAAAATGGGAACACTGACACCACTTGATGGTTCTTTTTCTTTGCAGTAGAGTAAAGGATAATTTAATTTCTAAAATGAAAACGGCTTAACCTTCCTTTTTACTATAACTTTTAGGAAAGTCAAAGCCAAGTGTACCCAGTTTTATAGTAACTGTAGGTGTTTGATATGTTTGCGCCCTCCGAGACTTCATGACGTTTTTGTTTTCTATTTTCAGTCTTTTCCTTGTGCAAGTATCTCTTGTAGAGTCTTTTTGGAAGTGTGTATGTGCATTGTAAATTTATACATGAATGAATAAAAGTCTTAGCGGGAGGTTACTGTTGCCGCTGAAATAACAGTATTCCCTGGGGGATTTCCTTTTCTCTTGGAGACATTACTTTCCCCAGATATTGCTTATGTATCTTTTCCTCTTTTAATTGGAAACAGTGTATGAATGATTCTTTCCACAAGTAATGTAAACACCGATTTTTGCCTTCTTGGATTCCTGTACACTTGCCTTTGTGGATGTGATGTTTGATCACAGCTGGAATATATAGTCCATCTTCTGTGTGTACCATCCATCTTCTGCCTGCTTTTGTATGAATCTCATGTACATACCTTAAAAATGTACATACCTTAATTTTAAAATATTTTATTGCCAAAAAATGCTATAGGTTATTGGTTATCTGAGCCTTCAGGGATTCATGCTTTTGTCTGAAAATTCATGGAGTCTAGTATCTTGTATGTAGATTTACCGCAACTGAACTGTTGATTCATTAAAAACTTTTGAAAGAATACATATTAGGTGAACAATAAGATACAATATTGCAATACTGTTGACTTTCTGGTGCCTGCTCAGTCTGACCATGTTATAACATATTTTTTTCATTGTTTCCAAATTGTAGATAACTTGTAGCAATGGCTGCTGTTTATTCTGGCATTTCCCTTAAGCTTAAAAGCAAGACAACTTCCTGGGAAGATAAACTAAAACTAGCTCACTTTGCTTGGATTTCTCATCAGTGCTTTCTTCCAAATAAAGAACAAGTAAGTATAAAGTGAAGCTCATATTTTTATAGTCTATCAAGATAATTGCATATTGGCAATTGGTTAAAATAAAAAAGAAATAGAGAAAAGGTTGGGGAGGGAACTTTGTTGGAAGTTAAATGAAATGTCAATGGAAAAAGTAATGAGTCATACTTCATAATACCTTTTTTTTTGTTGTTGAAAAACCTCATTTAGTTCGGAGGCAGTGGCTCATGCCCGTAATCTCTATTTTGGGAGGCCAAAGCAGGAGGATCGCTTGAGGCCAGGAGTTCTACACCAGACTGGACAACATAATGAGATCCCTTTATGTTGGGATCTCATTATGTTTTGGGATTTGTGTCCTGGCTTCCTCCACATTACCTGCAGCTTAACCTCTAACTTTAAATATATATATATATATATATATATATCTACACATATACATACATACATATGTTAGACATGGTGGCATGTGCCTGTAGTCCCCACTACTTAGGAGGCTGAGGTGGGAGAATCCCTTGAGCCGAGGAGTTTGAGGCTGCAATGAGCTGTGATTGTGCCACTTCACTCCTGGTGATAGAGCAAGACCTTGTCTCTTCAAAATAAATAAATAAACCCACTGAATTTAGCATTTCTTTTGTTTGGAGACATTATATTATAAATTAAGTGTATGCATTAATGAACATATTGGGAATTAAGTTATGAAGTTAGTTTCTGAAAGTCCATTGATAGCTACATTTGATTATGAATCCAAAGTGATCTTTCATAAGCGGTAGGTGGTGCTTTGTTAAAAATCTTCAGAATTGGATAAATTGAAGGTTGGGTAGTAGAGAAATGTTAGTATTAGTATAAAGCCGTTTTAGAAATAGGCTAGGTACCAAGAAAGGCATTGCATTTTGTTAGAATTTCTCAAGCTTTTTTGGCTTAAAAATAGCGTGATAAGCACCAGGATGACAAGCTCATGAAATTGGATTAATACACATCCAGTTGCTGTTGTCAAAGAAGACAACACAAAATGTGTCCGAGATGGATGCCATATGTAAAATGATGATGAGGTGTGGTGCATAGAGCAGTGGTCATATCCAGTGCTTTCTACACCTGGATGAACATGGGAGTCATCTTGGTAGCGGGGCAGTCACTTGGCAAGTGCTGCCCAGAGTGAAATGAAGGGGTAGCTCTTGCAACCAATTGGACCAAGGTTTCTGCTGTTATACTGAGAGATTGTATTCCTTCTGGCATCTGTCACTGTTCATACTATTATTGACAGTTCTGGTATCGTGAGCTGTGGCCTCACCACCTTTCTTCAATGTTTTGTGAATGAGGAAACATGACACAGTAATGGAACCAGTATAAGTATGGTCCTTTTCATAAAGCACTTGTGTGCTTTCATATTGACTGTCTATCTCCTGGATGAAGTATAAATATTAATAGTGTTAGAGGTTAAGCTGCAGGTAATGTGGGGGAAGCCAGGACGCAAATCCCAGACTTTCAACTCTTTCTTGCTTTTTTGCTTTATGTGTCTGATTCATTCTGTGGTTATTCTGAGCAGTTGTATTTCTAACTTTTACTTTTTCTTTTTTTTCTTATACGATCTGTTCTAACTTTTAAAACTTAGTACATGCATATCTCAGAGATATTACAGGCTTGGTTCCATACCAGTGAAATAAAATTAAGATCACAATATTGCGAGTCACACAAGTGTTTTGGTTTCCTAGTGCATATAAAATTTATGTTTATACTATAATTTATTAAGAATGCAATAGCATTATGCTTAAAAAATGCATGTACCTTAATTTAAAAATACTTTATTGCCAAAAAATGCTATTGGTTATTGGTTATCTGAGAATTCAAGGAATCATCGTTCATCCTGGAGGGTCTTGCCTCAGTGTTGATGATCTGGGTGGTGATTGCTGAAGGTTGGAGTGACTGTGCTGCTTAAAATAAGACAACAGCGAAGTTTGCTGCATGGATGGGCTCTCCTTTCATGAAAGACACAGCATTTTTCTCATGGGAGAACTTCTTTCTAAATTGGACTTCTCAAAACCTGCCACTACTTATCAACTAAGTTTAAGTTCTGTTCTCAATCCTTTGTTGTCATTTTAGCAACGTTCACAGCATCTTCCCCAGGAGTAGATTCCATCTCAAGAAGCCACTTTCTTTGCTCCTCTCTAAGAAGCAATTTATTTGTTCAGGTTTTATTAGTCCCGCCTTCAGGCTCCACTTCTATTCCCCTGGCTATTTCCAGTGTACATGCAGTTACTTTCTCTACTTAAATCTTGAGCCCTTCAGAGTCATCCATGAGGATTGGAATCAGCTTCTTCCACACTCCTGTTAATGTTGATATTTTGACCTCTTTTCATGATTCATGAATATTTGTACTGGCATCTAGAGTGGTGATTCTTTCCAGAAGATCTTCAGTTTGGCTTTCTCCACATTCATCAGATAAATCACTCTGGCACCTGTAGCATTAGGAAATGTGTTTCTTAAATAATCAGACTTGAAAGTCAGAAGTACTCCTTGATTTATGGGTTACAGAATAAATGTTGTGTGAGCAGTCATGAAAACCACATTCATCTCCTTGTATATCTCCATCAGAGCACTTGGTCACCCTAGAGCAGTAATCTGATAGAAATCTTTTTGTTCTGATCTGTCTCAATATGGGCTTAAAAATCTTTAGTAAACTATGCTGTAAATGGATGTGGTGTCATTCAGGCTTTGTTTTTCCATTGACAGAGCACAAGCAGAGTACATTTAGCATACTTCTTAAGGGCCCGAGGGTTTAGGGGATGGTAAATGTTCATTGGTTCAACTTAAAGTTACCAGCTGCATTAGACCTTAATAAGAGAGTCAGCCTGTCCTTTGAAGCTTTGAAGCCAGGCATTGACATCTGTTCTCTAGCTATGGAAGTCCTAGATGGAGGCTGTGCTCAGTGGCTCATGCCTGTAATCCCAGCACTTTGGGAGGCTGAGGCGGGTGGATCACCTGAGGCTGGAAGTTCGAGACCAGCCTGGCCAACATGGTGAAACCCTGCCTCTACTAAAAAAAAAACAACAACAACAACAAAAAAAAACTAGCCAGGTGTGGCGGTAGGCACCTGAAATCCTAGCTATTAGGGAAGCTGAGGCAGGATAATTGCTTAAACCTGGGAGGTGGAAGTTACAGTGAGCTGAGATTGTGCCATTGCACTCCAGCCTGGGAGACAGAGTCTGACTCCATCTAAAAAAAAAAAAAAAAAAAAAAAAAAAAAAAACCAAACAAATTAAAAAACCCAGAAACCAAAAATAAAGTCCTAGATGGCCTCTTCCAATAGAAGGCTGTTTCTTCTGCATTGAAAATCTGTTGTTTAGTGTAGCCAACTTCATCAAGTATCTTAGCTACATCTTCTAGATAACTTCACCTAGCACTTTTATGAAGATGGCTTCTTTCACTAAACCTCATGAACCAGCCTCTGCTAGCTTCTAGCTTTTCTTCCACAGCTTCTTTACCTCTCTCAGTTCATAGAATTGAAGAGAGTTAGGGCCTTGCTTTGGATTAAGCTCTGGCTTAAGGGAATGTTGTGGCTGGTTTGATCTTCTATCCAGACCACTAAAACTTTCTCCACATCAGCAATAAGGCTGTTTCGCTTTCTGTCATTTGTGTGTTCACTGGAGTAACACTTTCACTTTCCTTCAGTATCTTTTTGTTTGCATTCACATTTTGGCTGGTTGGCTCAACAGGCTTGGTTTTTGGTCTGTCTCACCTTTCAGCAAACTGCTTCATTAATTTTAATTATTTTTATCTTTGGATTTAAAGTGAGAGACAAACAGCTCTTCCTACCACTTGAACACCTAGAGGCTATTGTAGGGTTAATTGGCCTAATTTCAGTGTTATTGTATCTCAGGGAATAGGAAGGCCAGAGAAGAGGGAGAGAGGAGGAAATAGCCCTTTCAGGGTAATAGCATTTTGATGGAGCAGTCAGGAGGCATAGAAGATTTATTGATTAGGCTTGCTGACTTAGAAGGACACAGTTCATGGCTCCCCAAAACAATTAGAATAGTAAGTAACATCAGTGGTCACTGATCACAGAGCACCATAACGAATATAATAAGAATGAAAATGTTTGAAATAGTGGGAGAATTTCCAAAGTGTGCCAGACATGAAGCGAGCACATGCTGTTGGAATGAAGGATCCGGTAGACTTGTTTGGCACAGGGTTGCCATAAACCTCCAATTAGTAAAGTGCAGAATCTGTATCTACAAGGCACAATAAAATGAGATATGCCTGTATAACCTCAGCAAAGAGGGTAAGACATGTTAGAGTTTCACCTGAACTTTTTATTTGCCCTTGCTGAAGACAAATTTGTTGTCTTCCCCTCCTTATCCTTTAATAATAAACATTTTAAAATACCAAAACACTTATGTCATATTACCAAAGGTAAGTTTTAAAAGAAAGGTTTTTTTCTTCCCCATGGTGATTGGATTTGGTAATATCCGTAATGTCCCTGTGATGGCCAACATCTTTCTCTCTCAGCAAATAAATTTATTTTCAGTGTATGTTTCCTTCAAATTCAGGTATTACTTGATTGGGCAAGACAATCATTGGTTGCATTTTATAAGAAGAAACTTGAACTGAAGGAAGATATTGTTGAAAGGCTTTGGATGTATATAGATAACATTTTACATAGCAGAAAATTGCAGAATCTCCTCAAGAATGGAAAGACCATTAATCTTCAGATTTCCCTAGTCAAGGTAATTAACTCTTCTCTTGTCCTATATGCATTGGATGCATCTCCATTGATTTCTTCTTAATGCTGGAAACTTGTTTTAGTGTCAATTTTATGAAGATACAGGAAATATCAAGGTAGGGGAGAAGGATGTAATATTATTAGAATTACAATAATAACTTTGTTAAATGCATATCATATATTCTATACCATACTAAACCCTTTGTTATTTAATATTCAAAATAAAGCTTAGAACTCTTTCATAAACACATTATTGATTACCTTTTTAATTGGAAAAGGTAGCTAGCAAATTATGCTACTCTGACTTGTTTTTCTTCTTCACCTTTCTTTTGGTCTGGAGGGAGATCAAAGGCCAAAAACCAGACAGGAATTTCCTCAAAGGGTGTTTTTTTTTTTAATTTTTTTTTTTTTTTTTTTTTTTACGATGGCCTTCAAGCCACAAGTGCCACTAGTGGCTTGGCTGGCAACTCAGGGACCTCCTCGGTTTTTGACAGAAAGTGATTTTGAAGTCTCAGATCAGAAGTATGAACTTCATTGTCAAAATGGAGTGTGTTTAAATACCATGAGAATAGCTAGACGGAATAAAAACTGCTACTAATGAGCACTTAGTGTGTGCCAGTTTAACTTCAAGTTTAACTTTCTTGAAGTTCCATGGCTAGTCAGTGGCAGAACTGGGATTTGAACTTCCCTCTGCCTGAGTGTAAAGCCTGGGTTGTGAAGCCATCGCACTGCCTCACCCTCACGAGTGTGCAGGCAGAGAGAAAAGCATTAGAGGCTGGGAACGGAGAGAAACGAAGACTGAGCTGCCTGATGGCACATAGACTTTAATGGTTCTTGAGATTATGTTCCAAACTGGGTCAGTTTTTAAAATAATAAACCACTGGTCACCAAAGTGGCTTATTTCAAATGGTCTTTTGGAATATGGGAAGAAAATGTCTCCTTGTTTAAAAAACCATATTTAATTTTAATTTTTATACATGCTTTATAGTTATATAAAATGTTGGTACTGTGGCATATATATATAATTTATAAATAAATTATACTTATTGAGTATAAGTGCAGGAAAAATTGATGAGTTGTATAATAAAAAATTTGGAGATCACCATAAAAGTGCATTGACATTTAAGGATTTGTCATCTTTGTTAAAGCTTTTCCAGAGTAACTTTAAGAGTCCATGGCCAGCAATTACTTGAATGGAAATAATATTACCTATCTCATTAGGGCACTGATAACTTAGCACCTGAGATAGGTTTGATTCTCAGATTCCATAAGGCTGAGAGCAAGTCACTTAACCTCTGAGTGAATTACACAATCTGCCTGGTTCTCAAAATTTCTGGTGTTTGTGAATTTTGGAATTTTGAGAGCAGTAGACAATAGATTTGCTGTATAATAAGCAGTAGTAACATAACATTTGCTTCCCTTTTTTAAACATTTTTTGAGATAGAGTCTCCCTCTGTCCCCCAGGCGGAGTGCAGTGGTATGATCTTGGCTTACCTCTGCCTCCTGGGTTCAAGTGATTCTTGTACCTCAGCCTCCCGAGTAGCTGGGACTACAGGTTTGCGCCACCATGCTAAGCTGATTTTTATATTTTTAGTAGAGATGGTGTTTTACCATGTTGACCAGGCTGGTCTCGAACTCCTGGCCTCAAGTGATCTGCCCGCGCCTCAGCCTCCCAAAGTGTTGGGCTTGCAGGCATGAGCTACTGCACCCAGCTGCTTTCGTTTTTAAAAGAGTGCCTATTGCTTTGGCTTTTTAAGTAGAAAAAGTAAAATTGACTATAAACATGTATTTTTTTCTTTTTTTGAGACAGAGTCTTGCTCTGTCACCCAAGCTGGAGTGCAGTGGCTTGAACTCAGCTCACTGCAGCCTCTGCCTCCCAGGTTCAAGCAGTTCTCCTGCCTCGGCCCTCCAAGTAGCTAGGATTACAAGTGCCTGCCACCACACCTGGCTACTTTTTTTTTATTTTTAGTGGAGTTAGGATTTCACCATGTTTGCCAGGCTGATCTTGATTGCCTGACCTCAAGTGATCCACCCACCTCAGCCTCTCAAGGTGCTGGGATTACAGGTGTGAGCCACCATGCCTGGCCTATAAACATGTATTTTGGACCATAAGTTTATAACTCAAATGCTAGTCTCTCTCTGCCTGGGAACACTGAAGCTCAATTGCAGGTTTAGGATCTAAGGGAAAGTGATAATTTGGCACTTAAGCCTTTTAAAACCCACGTTTTTAAAAAAGGGACAGCAAATTTACAAAGGCATGGGTCCTTTTTTCAATTTGCATTGGTAGAAGATGGATAGGTAGAGGAATTAAAACAGGTGCTTTGCCTTATTTTTGATGTACTAAGCTTATGTCAAGTTCATTGACATACAGTATTTCTTACCAAGGTGAGGGTAATGGGTGAGTTTGTTGTGGTTGTTTTAATACTTTTCTTGCATATGTATGGGTCTAAGATAAGTAATGAATTTTTTTTCTTTCTTAATGTTCAGATCATAAATGAGAGAATAGCTGAGTTCTCTCATTCGGGATCCCAAAGAAACATCTGTGCTGTCCTTCGATGCTGCCAGGGCATCCTGTCAGCACCTGCCCTTGCTGTCATCTACACGGCCAAACAGGAGCTGATGGTGGCCTTGCTGAGCCACCTTTGCTGGTTGGCCTGCAGGCAGCCAGAAGGAGCCGTGGTAGCCCAGTTGTTTGAGGTCATTCACCTGGCCCTTGGCCATTACCTCTTGATCCAGCAGCAGCAGGTCAACCCAAGACGTGCCTTTGGGGATGTGACTGCTCACCTGCTCCAGCCAGGCCTGGTCCTGAGGCACTTACTCTCTGGGGGCACATGGTCACAGGCTGGTCAGGGCCAGTTGAGGCAGGTCCTGAGCCGGGACATCAGGAATCAGATTGAGGCCATGCTCCGAAGAGGAGTTTTTCAGCCTGAGCTGCTGTCATCCTATAAGGAGGAGCTCTTGGACCAGCAGCAAGGGGATACGAAGACAGGAGCCATGAAGAACCTTCTGGCTCCCATGGACACCGTGCTCACCAGGCTGGTCGATGCTGGCTACTGTGCAACTTCCCTTCATACCTCTGTTGTGGCCAACTCAGTGGCCTTGTTGTATAAGCTCTTTCTAGATTCTTACTTCGGGGAGGGAAACCAGCTTCTCTGCTTCCAGGTTCTCCCCAGGCTGTTTGGCTGCTTGAAGATTTCACACCTGCAGGAGGAGCAGAGAAAAGCCCTGTCCACATCAGATTGGACCACAGAACTTTTGGTTGTGGAACAGCTACTAAACTCAGTGGCCAACAACAATATCTATAACATCGCTGCTGACAGGATTCGGCACGAAGAGGTTCAGTTCCACTTTTACCGCCGTGTGGCTGAGCTGCTGATAAACCATGCACAAGCACCCATACCGGCCTGGTTCCGCTGCCTGAAGACTTTGATATCACTGAATCATTTGATTTTGGAGCCAGACCTGGATGACTTGCTGGCTTCAGCTTGGATTGATGCAGAAGTAACAGAGTTTCGAACCAAGAAAGCCCAGGAAGCGCTTATTCATACTCTCTTCCAGACTTATGCCAAACTCCGACAAGTGCCTCGGTTGTTTGAAGAGGTTTTGGGGGTGATCTGTCGTCCAGCTGCTGAGGCACTGAGGCAGCCTATGCTGGCCTCAGGCCCGTCCACGGTGCTCTGTGCATGCCTCCTGGAGCTGCCTCTGAGTCAGATCCTGGACACGTGGTCCCTTGTGTTGGAGAAGTTCCAGTCTTTAGTCTTGCCCTATTTGGAGAGTGATGCTGACATGGCCCTGAAGTCACTGTCACTGAGCTCGCTGCTGCATTGCATCATGTTCAACATGAGGAGCCTGGATAGCAGCACGCCCCTGCCCATCATCAGACGGACACAGTGCATGATGGAGAGGATGCTGAGGGAGCTCGTGCAGCCCCTGCTGGCCCTTCTGGACCCCCCAGGCCCAGAGCTTGAGCTGTGGCTGCAGAAGGTCAGTGACTCTGCACTCCTGCTCGCTTACACCTGGGCCCAGGTGGATGCTATGTTCAGTTTGAACTGTAGCCAGTATCACTCTATGTCTGGGGCCCTTACGGGTGTTCCTCTGGAGATCTCGGACCTCCCTTCATTGCTCCCAGGTATAGAAACACAGCATTGGAAGAAGATAGAGAAGTTTACAGCTCAGTTCAACTCTCTTGGTAGATACTGCTTAGAACAGCTGTACCTGCAGAAAATGAAAAGAACTTTAATGCAAACTAGTTTCCGGTCTGAAGAAGCCCTCCGAAGTTTGAGATGTGATGCTGCCTTTATTATTGGTTCTGGCAGAAAAAACTTGAATCAAAGAACGACAGCTTCCTGGGACAGCCAAGTAGGGACGGTGAGTGGACTCACGTACCCTGTAGCACACTGGCACTTGATTGTGTCAAATCTCACCATTTTAATATCCTACCTGTGTCCAGATGATGTGAGATACCTGGCCAGTGTCCTGCTGAGAACTTTACCAATGGGCAGAGCCCAGGACGGCTCAATAGATGAAGAGCCATACATCACACTGCAAAAAATATCCAGAGCCATCCTTAACAGCCCTCTCTTTCCAGAGATGCAGTCCCTTCATTCTGCTTTCTTAATGTGTTTAGCCGCAAGATGTTCCAGCATTCTGTGTTCTGGTGCCCAGCGTGACTCAGGTCTTGTCAGTCAGCAGCTTCCCTGGCTTTTTGAAAAGGACCACATGGTTGTGGCTCATTGGGAAAATAGATTTGCAAAAATTGGACCCGAAGGTATAGAACCTCGAGGAGAAATTGCCCAGAACTTACTATCCCTGGTCAAGAGTGACTTCCCCATCCAGCTGGAGGGAGAACAGTTGGAAAGCATCCTGGGGTTTTTGGAAGTGATGTCTACTTTACAACTGGACAGCCTCTTGCCGCCTTATCATGTGCATTATTTTCTTCTGTTACTGTCCATGGCTGTCACCAAACTAGGATGTTCTTGCTCCTCCTCACTGGCTCTCAAGTTCTTGATGACTTGCTACCAGCTTCTTGGTTACCTGCAAAGAGGGAAAAGTGTTCGGTCTGTGTTCAAGATCATGTATGTTAGTGATATTTTTGAGATTGTACTGACCTCATTGTTCAGAGCTAGTAGTAGATTCCCTATTGAGATGGATGATCCCACTTGGCTGGAATTCCTCCAAGTGATAGGGACATTCTTAGAGGAGCTAATGCAGATGCTCATCCAAATGAAGCTGAGCTTGGTGCTCAATTTTAGAAAAATCACCACGTTCCTCTCTAGTTCCAAACCACACATGGAGGCAGCTTCTGGCAAACAGTTGGAAAATCAGAACCCTCAGGGCAGGCAGCTCCTTCTGGTGTCTTTAACGAGGTTATGCCATGTGCTGGGACCTTTCCTCAAAGAGCAGAAGCTGGGCCAGGAGGCCCCGGCAGCTCTGTCTAAGCTGCTGCAGCAGGCCATGCTGCAGACAGGAGCTGTGCTGCAACTCTGCTCCGTGCCAGGGGCCCAGGGCTGGTGCCTTCCTTTGGTCCTCATCTCATCTGTCAGCATGCTCTTGGAAGCTGACCTGTGCCTGCACTGCAGGGGTGGAGAGGCCAACATTTCCCAAGTAACCGACGGGACACTGCTCTCCCATGCTGCCCTCTACCAGGGTGTTTACTCTCAGATACTGTCGGAGTTGCCAGCTCTTGCAGGACAGGATCAGTCTTTTCGGGCAGCCTTGCAGTTTTTGACTCTGTTCTTTTTGGCCCCAGAACTCCATCCCAAAAAGGACTCCGTGTTTACCTCCATGTTTCATTCTGTGAGAAGAGTTCTTGCAGGTAAGGTATTTTCTCCTGAGTTAATTCTGTGTTACAGAGGTCTAGTTTCCGCTGCTCCCCTTTTTGGAACTGGGAGTAAGTGAACACGTAGTGTGTTCAAAAGGTACCACTTGCAGACAGTGAGACAATCTCCCTCCCAGGCCCAGCACTCACAACTTCATGCCTTTTATTTACATTCTAGGTACACTTAAGCAATTACCCTTACCACTGTTTACTTACTGTGCAAACAGCAGCCTCCTCTGTAGGTTACTCTGTGCCTCAGTTGCTCACTTATTTTGGAGGTGGTTCTGTGTAAGTTTACAATTTTGAAATCCACTCCTCTTCAGTTTTTTAGCCTTTAACTTGTCTTGGCTGCAGTGAGATACATAGATACTTGCATCCTTAGTAGGCTCTTAAGTATCAGACTTTCAGTGCCATAAATTGACTTTAAAAAGATATAAAAATCTGCCAACTTTAAAAAAGCACAAAACAGGGCCAGGCATGGTGGCTCATGTCAGTAATCCCAGCACTTTGGAGGCTGAGGGGGCAGATTGCTTGAGCCCAGGCAACATGGCAAAACCCCATCTCACCAAAAATACAGAAATTGGCCATGGAGTTTCAGGTGGGAGGATCGCCTGAGCCCAGGGAGGTTGGTGCTGCAGTGAACCTTGATCCTGTCATTTCACTCCAGCCTGGGTGACCCAGTGAGACCCTGTCTCACAAAAATAAATAAGTAAAATTTATTATTTATTATTTATTATTTATTTTGAGCCACACTGTTGTGCCACACTCTGTCCCCAGGCTGGAGTGCAGTGGCATGATCTTGGCTCACTGCAACCTCCGTCTTCCAGGTTCAATCAATTCTCCTGCTTCAGCCTCCTGAGTAGCTGGGAGTACAGATGTGTGCCACCACACCCAGGTAATTTTTGTATTTTTAGTAGAGACGGGATTTCACCATGTTGGCTAGGATGGTCTCAATCCCTTGACCTTGTGATCCACCCACCTCAGCTTCCCAAAGTGCTGGGATTACAGGCATGAGCCACAGGGCCCAGCCAATAAAGTAAACTTTAAATTAAAGAGTACAAATTACTTAATTTCTAAAGAGCCTTTTACAGTTTCTTGAGGGCAGGACTGTGCCTTCCTTAGTTCACCGCGCTGCCCCCCAGCCCCTCTCTTCCCCCATCCCCCCCGCCCCTCTCCCCCATATTAGGATGCTGCCAGGTGCAGGTGCTCATTGGACCAAGGCTCACCTTCAATGTCATCATAGTATTTTAGTCTGAAGGCAGCCTTCCAGGCAGCAAACTAGGACCTCATACACAGCCTAGAAGCAAACGAGCTCATATCTTCCTGCACAGAGTCGACCTTTACAGTCCCCTTGGTCAAAGGTTAATGGGTTACTGTGCAGTCATTAAAATTATAATTGTGAAAACTCTTATGAAGACAAGGGCTAGAAATATCTAGAAAATGTTGTTAAGCAAAAAAAGTACAATATGAACTGTTAAATATGCCACAACTATATAAAATATGCATGAATGCAGACAAGGGCTAGAAATGGATGCAAACATTAAAATAATCATTGTATTAACATGTTGTGGTTATTGCTATTTTCTTTATACCACTTTAATGTTGCATTTTAATACATCAAAATACTTGTCTATGGTTTAATTAAACTTGCCATAGCAGGGGATAGACTATATTGTCTTTGGAGGCCCGTTTAGAGTTAGTTGAGGTTTTCCTGTAAATAGAGTGAAAAGTGATTAAGATTTGTTATCTTTATTAGGGTATACAAATAAAATACACTTTTATTCCTCCCAAAAAACAAGCAAGCAAGAAGAGATTTCTTGTGTTTTAGGATAGCACACACCACAATTGTGAGGGCCTTTTTTGTTTTGGTGGTAATGAAAGGGTTGGGGTCAGGTCAGTCTTTTGAGGTGAGGTCTGGAAATCAGGCACATCTGATCCTTGGAGCACAGGTTAACCTCTCTGTTTCTGGGTGGAGAAGCTGTGACGGATGGGGCCATGGGCCTGCCTTTCAGTACATGAGGGTTAAATGGGTTCTCGTGGAAAGTGAAGCCACCTGGTCTGCCTGTGCAAGCACCAGAACTGAAGTGCTGTGGCCCAAATCACGCTCCTGATGTCTCCCCTTCAGTACCTCTCTGTTTCTGGCGTGACTGTGGATTAACTGATAGGCTTCGATATTACATTGTTCTGTCTTACCGTGTCAGCGACTCTTTTAGGGAACGGTATTCACCTTCTTAATGGGAGCTAAAATCAAGTCTTTTATTAAGCCTAGTTACAGTGTTCTAAATGAATGGCCCAAGAAACGGCAGCTGGTGGTCTGAAGCTCTGCCCTGTGCCCCTTAGTTAAACAGAATACTTCGACCTCCTTTTCCTCTTTAACCCTGGTGAGGTGAGGCAATCTCTCTGTCTCTCTTTTTTTTCTTTCCTTTTTTTGAGACAGAGTCTTGTTCTGTCACCCAGTCTGGAGTACAGTGGCATGGTCTCTGCTCACTGCATCCTCTGCCTCCTGGGTTCCAGCAGTTCTCCTGCCTTGACCTCAAGTAGCTGGGATTATAGGCATGCACCACCACACCTGGCTAATTTTTGTATTTTTAGTAGAGATGGGGTTTACCATGTCAGCCAGATTGGTCTCAAACTCCTGACTTCAGGTGATCCACCTGCCTCAGCCTCCAAAAGTGCTGGGATTACACGTTTGAGCCACCATGGCTTGCTGAGTTGAGGCAATCTTTAAGTCCTAACTGTATGTCCCTGGACTTCTGGTATCTTTTCCCCAGGGACAGAGCCCCTTGGTCACAGCGTGGGCAAGGTTGGGCCAGGCCAGCCTGCCACACTGCTGTGCCCTCAGCTCATTGGCCTGGGGTGTTGTGTCCAGGCCTCTTCCACCTGAGCTGTTAGGCTCTGTCCAGGGAAGTGCCAGAGTTGTGAGTGCTGTGGAAGAAATGTCAAGTGAGGAGTGGTCCAAGGCTTCAGGCAGGGAGAGAGGGAGTGTGAGGAGGGGCTGTGCAGGTGCCCCAGCCATGGAGTTCTCCCTGTGTCCTCCTGGAGGGTGGTTCAGAGGTGAGCTTTTATAAAAATACCTCTGACAGTAGAACAGAGGACCTGAATTCAGTTACAGAAACCAACACTTCTAAAAATGCTTCTTGGCCGTGAGTGGTGGCTGGCATCTATAATCCTGCACTTAGGGAGGCTGAGGCAAGAGATCACTTGAGGCTGGGAGTTCGAGACCAACCTGGAAAAAAGCAAAACCCCATCTCTTCAAAAAGTTAGCCAGGTGCGGTAGCAGGCACCTGTGGTCCCAGCTACTCTGGAGGCTGAGGCGAGAGGACCCCTTGAGTCCAAGAAGTCGAGGTTGCAGTGAGCCATGACTGTGCCACTGCACTCCAGCCTGAGTGATGGAGTGAGACCCTGTCTCCAGAAAAAATTTTTAAAAATTAAAATGCTTGTATCTTGCTCTGGAGGAGAGTGAGGTGTTGATTTTGGCCTTTGTAATTAAGTAAACAGACAGTCGCACCAATCATAGGGTAAAGGTGGAGGAGATGCCATAGAATGAACCAGAGCGATGGGACTCTGGGCGGAGAGGCCACATACAGGCCTAGCCTGAGTGGCCCTTAAAAAATAGTTAGGGCAGGTGGAAATGGGAGCCTTTCATGTGAGGGCACTATGTTGTGAGCTCTGTGGCCTTTTTAAACTTGCCAGCCACAGGAGTTGGTGCTGTTATGCCCACTTCACTGATGAGGGTGTTGAGGCTACGGAAAGGAACCTCACTGATGAGGGAGATCATGAGTCCGGGTTTTACAGCTTGTGGGAGACTCAGACCTAGATCTCTACCTCTCAAAGCCTTTGGTCCCCTTTCCCCCAGTGTTGTAAACAGTAAGCAAAGACAGGAAAGCAGGAAGGTATTCTGGCAATGTGGAATAGTCAGATGGGGCTGAAGCGCTGGCTGGGAAGATGACCTGGGGTCAGATGATAAAGGGCCTTGAGTGCCCTGGCTTTGGGCGTTATTGTGAAACCGTGGGCCCAAGGACACTGGGGATGATGGAAAACAGCCGGGTGACTTCCTGACAGTCATGCAGTCCTGAAAAGTGAGTCTCTTAATCTTTTTAACTTTCCTGTCTGTTTAAAATACCACCCATTCTTGCGCCCCTACCAATTTTATAAAAGAAATACAAAACAGAAAAAAAAAATACAATTGACCCTTGGACAACATAGGAGTTAGGGCACCAACCCCTGGCACAGTAAAAAAAAAAAAATCCATGTATAGCTTTCTGAAACAATTCTATTTAAAAAATCACGTGTTACTTTTGACACTCCAAAAGTTAACCACTGATAGCCTACTGCCGACCAGAAACCTTACCGATAACATGAGCAGTCGAGTACCACATATTTCACATGTGCTTATGTATTCTTGAAATCAAGTAAGCTAGAGAAAAGAAGATGTTATTAAGAAAATCATAAGAGAAAATATGTTTGCCATTCATTAAGTGAAGTAGATTATCATCAAGGTCTCCATCCTCTTCGTCTTCACATTGCGTAAGTTGAGGAGGAGGAAGGAGAGAGGTTGGTCTTGCTGTCTCGGGGGTGGCAGAGGCCAAAGAAAACCCATGTATAAGTGGATCCATGCAGTTCAAACGTCGTTCAAGGGTCAACAGCACAAAGTAATAGCCACCTGTCTTCTGTGGTTCGGAGCTTACCTCCTGAGCATGGCTGTCGTCTTCTGTGTTTGTGTGTATACACACTGCACGGGTACAGCTGTGTGAGAGCATGGCGTCACGCTAAATACCTGTACCTGCTTTTTCCACCAGTGCTTGTGCACGGGTACAGCTGTGTGAGAGCATGGCGTCACGCTAAATACCTGCACCTGCTTTTTCCACCAGTGCTTGTGCACGGGTACAGCTGTGTGAGAGCATGGCGTCACGCTAAATACCTGCACCTGCTTTTTCCACCAGTGCTTGTGCACGGGTACAGCTGTGTGAGAGCATGGCGTCACGCTAAATACCTGTACCTGCTTTTTCCACCAGTGCTTGTGCACGGGTACAGCTGTGTGAGAGCATGGCGTCACGCTAAATACCTGTACCTGCTTTTTCCACCAGTGCTTGTATTACCACGTCCCTGACTTGGTGATGTTTGATGGCTGCCACAGCTGTGCACGATTTCATCCTGTGGCTACTTGGTAATTTATTTCACCTGTCTGTCTGTCACATCTTAACAGGTTTGGTTTCTTTCCCACACAGATCCTGACATTCCTGTTCAGGTCACTCAGGATATTGAGCCTCATTTGGGAGCCTTGTTCACCCAAATGATAGAGGTTGGGACAATAGAGGACTTGAGGCTGGTGATGCAGTGTGTTCTCCAGGGACTGGACGTCAGTAACATGTGGAAAGCAGATGTGCAGGTGGGTGGCTGCCCTCCTTGTGTGGCAGGGTCGGAAACCATGTCAGCTCAATGGGACAACTGATTTGAGTTGCGATGTCACCCCTAAAACGAAACAAACACATTCTAACTGGTAAAGACTGTAAGCAAAGAGGGAGGCTGTGAGAGGGAGCTGTGGTTGGGACAGCCCAGGCTGCAGTGTAGGGAGGCCTTAGTTTTCAAACGGGAAGTTTTTCAAATTACAGATGTGTGGTCTTAGCACGTCAAATACCAAGTATTACATATTCACAAAACTGATACATAAGAAAGTTAAACTGCTCATTCTTTGCTGAATACCTTTTGCACCATAGTTTTTGAAACATGTGGCCCGATTGGGCCATACTATCCTCATGCCAGCATTGGAGAAGCGCTTAGGTTAGCCTACCCGCTTCAGTTCCCATGGAAGTCACTTATACAGCCTGCATGCTGTTGCATTTGCCAAATGCCTTTGCACAGAGCTCACGTGCTGGGATTTGCTTCTCTGAGTGCCCCTGGGCACTAGACCGGTCAGATATCCCCACTCTTACACAAGGAAGAAGGCCACAGAGCCAGTGGTCGGTGGGGCAGAGACTCCAGCCAAGGTTCTGGTCTAGGCATATTCTGCCTCATGAATGGCTTAGTGACTCCTGGTCATGTATAGCACACTGGTATTGGGTGCTGATTTGGACAGGAGAAAAGCTGGAGAGGCTAATCTGGGAGCTTACAGGGAGGGGTGTAGGTCAGGTCTGAGGGCAGCAGTAGGGAGAACCTGGTCTTCTCTCTGGTCCTTTGTGTCAAGTGCCTCTGCAGCATGATTGGGCGACAGCTCTGAGAAGGACTCCAGGCCTCTGGGCTTCCCCTCAGCAAGCCAAGAGGAAACAAACCCAAATTTCTATTTGGACTAGTCAGTCAGGAGACTTCCCGGAGGAAGTGAGACTCCAGTGTGCACTGAAGAACACAGGAGACTTGGTTGGGGCAGCAGGGGGGAGGGTAGGGGAGGTGTGCACAGTGCAGGAAGTGTGTTGGGCTGCCAGGAGCAGGGGACGTGCAAGTGTGAGAAGATGGACAGGGAAAAGTGCCGGCAGGCGGGCCTGGTAGGGAGGTACAGCCTGTAGGTGGGCAGGAGGGCAGGAGTGGAGATAGGACTTTGGGATGTGTATAGTGAGAGGGAGCAGGGAAGGGAAGAGAGCGAAGGGCAGAAGCCAGGAGTTTGGCTAGGGTTGTGGTGCTACACAGCATTAGGGGAGAAGAGGCTGGTGTGAGGCTGAAATAGAAACTGACTGACAGTGTGAAATACCTGGCACTGGGTCAGGTTTTTCATAGAGGCACCCAGTAAAGGTAGGGCTCAGCCCATGTTTCATTGTTTAAAACCTTATTTTTCAAAGAGGAAGTTTCTCAAATTATAAATGTGTGGTTTTATGTGAAATACTAAGTACTACCTATTCACAATACTGATAAATGTAAAAGTTAAATTCTTTTTTTTTTTTTTTTTTTTTTTTTTGAGACGGAGTTTCGTTCTTGTTACCCAGGCCGGACTGCAATGGCGCGATCTCAGCTCACTATAGCCTCCGCCTCCTGGGTTCAGGCAATTCTCCTGCCTTGGCCTCCTGAGTAGCTGGGATTACAGGCATGCACCACTATGCCCAGCTAATTTTTTTGTATTTTTAGTAGAGACGGGGTTTCACCATGTTGACCAGGATGGTCTCGATCTTTTGACCTCGTGATCCAGCCGCCTCGGCCTCTCAAAGTGCTGGGATTACAGGCTTGAGCCACCATGCCCGGCATAAAAGTTAAATTCTGGCCAGTGTGCTGGCTCATGCTGTAATCCCAGTACTTTGGGAGGCCAAGGTGGGCGGATTATATGAGGTCAGGAGTTTGAAACCAGTCTGACCAACATGGTAAAACCCTGTCTCTACTAAAAATACAAAAATTAGTTGGGCATGGTGATGGGTGCCTATAATACCAGCTACTTGGGAGGCTGAGGCAGGAGAATCGCTTGAGCACAGGAGGTGGAGGTTGCAGTGAGCTGAGATCATGCCATTGCACTCCTGCATGGGTGATAGCGTGAGACTTGGTCTCAAAATAAAAAAAAGTTAAATTCTCCTCATTCTTTGCTTAAGACCTCTCCCACCTTCCACTTTGAAACATGTGACCCAATTGGGCCATACTGCCATCATGTCAACATGTGACACCTGTGACCACAGCACCTAACCTGATTGTTTCCATATTTTCCTCCAGCCCCTCCTATCTGTAAGCATACGTTGTTGCTTGGTGAAGTAACAACCAGCATCCTCTGCGTGGACAGAACCTTGCCAACACAGGCTCTCTATAATTAGGTCGCAGTGTGTGACCTTGTGCAGTTCACTGTCTCGGCCCACTTACGTGTTTGGTTTAGTGAGATACTGCTGAGAGACCCTGAGGTTGCCCCAGCTCTGCTCATCTTCTTCACTTCCTTCCTGTCTGCCTGCTGATGTGAAGGGCATCCCCCTCAGGACTTAACCCTAAGCACACCTTATCCATGTCCCCAGACACCAGGGCTCCCAAGGGCTCCACTCCATTGCTGCATTCCCAGGGAACAGGCTTCGTCCTCAGGCAGAGTTTTTAGGAGAGAGCAGGCTCTTTCTCCTGCTAAGTTTTTTCTTTTTCCTCAGGCTGTTGTGTCAGCTGTTACATTGTTGAGGCTGCTACTGAACTGCCCACTCAGTGGAGAGAAAGCAAGTCTGTTGTGGCGTGCATGTCCCCAGATAGTCACGGCTTTAACAGTGAGTACCCTCTGGAGAGGTATCCTCCAGCTCCTCCCCTCCCTGTTCCTTAAAGACAGAAGTCAGCCTTTTGGGGTCTGCTGCCATGTGGCTTTATGCAGAGCATGTGTGGGCTGCTGCCTCCTGAGGATGGCAGTGAGCAGGATGCCAAGTTTGTGTGTCTTGCCTGAACACGTTGGTATTAACAGTTGGAGCAGTGGAAGGGAGGGGATATTAAGGGACATGTAGCAGCATTGGGAAGCAGTAAAAAGACAGGCAGTAAAAAGAGGGACGTAATGATAAAGGGAGGCTATTGTGGAGGCCTGTTCAATTTTTAAAATGTTATGTTTTCTTATTTTTGTAGAAATGGGGTCTCACTGGGTGGTCCAGGCTAAGGTGACATGGCTCTTTGCAGGTGCAAACATCGTGTTCTGCAGCCTCAAACTCCTGGTCTCAAGTGCTCCTTCTGCCTCAGCCTCCCAAGTCACCAGGATTATAGGTGCATTGTAGGTCCCTGTTTAATCAGATGCTAATAGAAGGGATTCTGGGCTTTCTTTGTCCCCACAAAATGTTGTGATTAGTTTAATGTGCTCATTTATTTGTAGGAGTTTCGTGTGTGTGTGTGTGTGTGTGTGTGTGTGTGTGTATGTGTGTGTGTGTGTGTGTTTAAGGCCTATGATATAGTGAGAATTAAATGCTTTATAGGATGGGATAGTAATGTTACAGATAGGAGGTTATTTTGTTACAATCTTACTCAGATGTTAAAATTTGTGTCCAGTTGTTGCTAGGCTGTTTGTTTCACAGGAACAAAAGCCTGACTCAGATTGGGACTGTCTCTTGCCCTCTGAAATCCCTGACATGATTGTTTTTACACTTAGATGCGAAGGAGAAGTATATATTTTACCATCATCCTCTGCACTAATTCTAGCTATTGCTACCTGAGAGAATTGGCCTGGGTTAGCATGTTCCTGGGGCAAAAGGGTCTAAAAAACAGACTTTATGTTCTTTCTTGTTTTCAATTTGGCTGCTTTGTCATTTTCCTGAGCATCCACGTTGGTTGATGGCAGAGGTCATTGTCACCAAGTGTGTGTGGTGAGCATCAGGAGAGACAAGTGGGCTGTGAAAGGAGGTGACCCATGCTGACAAGCAGGCACAGTGTTGATGACGTGCGTGGTAGGCCCTCATTGACAAGAACACCAGGCTAGAATCCACTTATGTCCACCCAAACGGTGGAGCAGGGGCCCGCACAGCCAGATCACCCAGCAGAACAGTGAGCACTGTGAGAGACAGGATGCGAAAGGTATCCCCAGGGCTACTGAGTGTCTCAGAAGGAGGGTCATGGGTGAGCTCTTTCAGGTTACGTAGGTAAGACTTTCCTTCTTCCTCCTGGGTCTGTTCTCTTTATTTTCTAGATCAGTAGTAGATGAGTATCTTTAACTAGAACTGATTTGTAAGAAATTTAACAAACGGTATTTAACTGCCCACCGACCACATCAATTCATTTTGGAGTACATTTTTACTGCGGTCACTCAGTGCTGCAGTGTTTGTGTTGTTTCCCTGGAGAATTACTTTCACTTTTTTCTCTATTTCATCTTGCCCTTTAGCTCCTAAACCGCGAAGCTTGTCAGGAGCAGCCTGTATCCCTCACGGTGGTCGAGCCTGTCCTAGACGTCCTGGCTGCACTGCTGAGGCAGGGGGAGGAGGCCATTAGCAACCCCCACCATGTCAGCCTGGCCTTCAGCATTCTGCTCACTGTCCCTTTAGACCATCTGAAGCCGCTGGAGTATGGAAGCGTCTTCCTGAGGCTGCACAACGTGCTCTTTTCAATCCTGCAGTGTCACCCTAAGGTGAGAAGGAGGGAGACAGCATCAGGCAGCTTTTCCTCTGTGAGCAGGGTACTTTTAAGTCTATAGAAAAGTGGCAGCAAAACTTGACTGTTGCAGGATAATAATAAAATTAATGATTTGCTAGGCGAACTTTCTGTTCTAGTAAATTGCAGAGCCGAGTGGTTTCTCAAGCACAAAAACACTCGACCTTCATACTGTGCTTTCCTAGTGATGTTTTTCTTCGTTGGATCTGGTGCTTTGAATAGTGTTTGGATATTACAGGTTGAATATTTCTAATCCCTAAACCAAAATGCTCCAAAACTCGAAACTTTTAGAGTGC